ATTACCATTAAAGGATTGACTAAAGTAGTTTTTTTTTTGGTGAAGGGGTATAAAAACAATATTATGTTTAGACAAGACTGGAGCACCATGCAGACAAACGTTTTAATAACACACTGACTGAGGATTTCACTAATTCATCGGCAGCTACACACAAATAAAACGGCATTCTCTCATTTTTGATTTCGGTCCAAGTCTAGTAGGATACATGTGTGCGTCAAGTATAGTAACCACCTAGTCTACATGCGATGAACAAATACCGTACTGCTTAATTTGTAACTGTAATTATGATCTTTCGCTCAGCAACAACGTAGACCCGTATCAGTGGTTGAAAAAATTACGAATTCATTTTTATTCAAGCACGTCTTCAAATGTTCTTAAGCTAAGCAAAACAAAATCATAATGCTAGTTGTTCATTCATATCCACATATTGATTTTTTCGAAGCTTATATCCATGATGGAATGTTTATTTAAAAAGGGGCCGGCTTGCATATCGGAAGGTCCACAGCTCGCGCTGCGATGCCGCTGAGTGCGCTTTGCGTGCGGTTTTCCGTTACAAATCAATTTTGATTAAAAGTAAGTTTACTTTATGGATAACTTGTCAATATAAACTTACACATTAATGGAAACTGCCCTGAATAAAAAAGACGTAATGTTATAAATCAATACATCGAGAAGACTAAAATCTATAATAATTAAATAGCACCTAACTATCACTTGGAAAAAAAACATTTTTTGTTAACGATATTTTGGCCGTTAATCCAAACAAAACGACACTTTGTTCAGCCAGCTTAGCAGTTTCATATTAATCGTAAACCCTCACGTGCAGCCACTAATGTTATAACGATGAAACAACTTAACTGAGATGACATTACAACATTTAATACTAATATTTATTTTCCCCATGGAGATTTTACGTCATTCTATACTGACATAATTATTTACCCATAATGTCACTGCAACACCTTATATCAATATCTTTTTTCACCCATAGAGGTTTTACGACACTTTATACTGACATAATTCTTTACCCATAATGTCACTGCAACACCTTATATCAATATCTTTTTTCACCCATAGAGGTTTTACGACACTTTATACTGA